GGGTAGCAAGATCCAAGGACAGGTTCTAAGCTGAAAGGCCTGTGTTCTTGCACCAGCTTCATCTTAACATGCTTTGTGATAGTTTCAAATCCATTTGCCATCTCACAGGAGATGGACTTCAAGGTGTCTGAAGTCTCATTCTGTTCTGAGGCCTTGTGTTTGAGTCATCAATTCATTTCACTTTCTACATCTTTCTAATATGTCTATTTTCTACTCCTCGCTATAATTCCTCTTTGTGGGGTCCCTGAACCTGTTGTCTCTCTTAGCAAGTCTTCTCGATGGACCAATTACAGGAAACAGCTTCTGATTCCTGTAAGATTAGACAGTGAAATCATTATTACACCTAATAAGAGTTAACTGGTCCATTTCACACAAATTATCTTCCTGTGTAGAACTGAAATATAAATCACTAAACACGAGTGGTATGTACTGGAGGACAGTTGTTCACAGGCAATGCTGGTGCACACGGGGGATGTGTCTTGGCCAATGTTATCCTCTAAAAGCCAGAATAGTTTCAACCATTCACACCATCTTTCCCTAAATATTCAATCTTTCACAGTAGGTGGTTCCTTGCAGTGTTTTTGCTTTGTTGCCGTTGTGACCAGACACCTGATAGAAACAACATAAGGGGAAAGGGTTGCTTTTGCTAGTGATTTCAAATGTTTCAGTCAATGATGCTGGTTAGGTAAGGCAGATATCTCCTAAGAACCACAGCTCACATCATGGTAGATATGGGAACATAGTAGATCATTAACAGGAATGGGCCAGAGTCTTATGCCACAAGGACACATCCCCAAAGACCTACTGCTGTGAACCAGGCTCTCCACTTTCCATAGTTCTATTCATGATTGAATTGTATCTAGAAAGGTCTCTGTCACTGATATAGTAGGTAGTTAACATTTAACTCAAGTTGCCACAGGTCCATACCTTTTGTCTTCTTTAATGGACATGCTGTTTCCTCACTTAGCTCTGACACCCATCTTCCAACATGCTCTCTGATTTCTTCAGAGGGTTGAGTGAATATGACTGTTTACTAACTAAATTGTTGTTGCCTAGGATGCTTAACTTCAGCTGAACTTCTTCCTGACAGCTATATGTCTTAATGAACCAGAAAGCTGGGTATCCACAGAATGTCTTCTTTGCTTTGCACACATGTAGAGGGCAGATACCATTTCATCTGCCAGGAACCTAATTCTGTGTGTGCAGTTGTGAGATGAGGATGCAGCAGTTTGTATGCCTAGAATTTCTATGCCCACTCCTTTTGCAGGGTTCCAGGTCTATCTGAACTTAGGGCTCCTTGGCCACTAGGAAATGGTTTAGGATGCTTCAAGGGCTACTTGTTCTCTCTGCTCATCATAGTTCCCTCACAGTGGAGACTGGAATCTCACCTTTGTGTCATTAAGACAATCCCTTGCTCCTGCCCCATTGCTGGATAAACCAAAAGCTGGCACCTTAAAGAAAATGAGCAAATGAACTGTTAAAGCAGCTGGAAACTCAAGGCCTAAATCTGGAAGAATCTATACAGCTATCAGATGTATAAGGCACAATGAGAGGCAGCTGCCTCTGCTTGGAGGAGTCTAGTGAAAGGCGATGCCTCCCAAACTCTGGGCTGCTGGCTTAGCTCTGCAGAAAACAGTAGAAAGGTAGAGTGACCTCTGAGGTGTCTCATCCAGAGGGACTCCAATAGAAGTTTCTGATAGAACAGTGTTTCTCAACCTGTGGGTCACACATCAGATATCCTGCAATTCAGATGTTTACATTACAGTTCATGAGAGTAGCAAAATTATAGTTATGAAGTAGTGACAAAGGTAGTTTCATGGGTGGAGGTCACCACAATATGAGAAACTGTATTAAAGGGTCGCAGCATTAGGAAGGTCAAGATTACTTTCCCAGCTGGAGAATAAAGATCTTACCTTTCTTTCCTATCTCTGTAGTAAACATGAGGGAGAGAATCTTCTGCTCTCTCTGGTTCAGCATCCATCCACATTTCCCACTTTCACCTATTCTGCTACCTCGGTGATTAAGACGGGAGATACAGCTTCTTTTCTACTCTCAGGAAGTTCTGGACTAAGAAGAAGGACAGTCCTTGCCTTTAAGGAGCTCAAAGTTAATGAGGAGTCAGGTGTCCTGTGCTTAAGAAAGTACTGCATCTAGCTTGTTGGGATATGTGGGGTTTCTCTTCACAGTACCGCTTGATACTGGAAGACTGAGTTTCAGGATGCCTCCTTTGATGAAAGGTAAGTGGTAAGACTCCAGGAGACTCAGTTAACCCATTGAGACAGAACTGTGAGCCTTGGTGTTAGAGAGATGAAAACGGAGGAAAGCTGGGAAGAAGAGGTGAAACAAGATCAGGACTACTCACAGCTTGGTAGAGAGCAGAGGGCAGGTGTCCTGGGGATGTGCAAACACACTGAAAGCTCCACAGTGCTCACATGGGGCATGTTGGAACTTAGTGATGCTCAGATGACACACCAGAGCAATACATCCTTGCAGGACTAGGCCTCAGTGCTGTTTTAGGAAAGCCTATCAGGAGGCCCTAACATGACTGGTGTTGGGGACTGCTAGGCTCTAGGATGCTGAGTACCTTGGAGGAGTCTAGAGATGAGAGACAAGTGCTTCTTTCATGCTAATTGGCGGAGAGGGCAAGGCAGGCTAAGGCCTAGGGAAGAGAACTCTCTGGCCGCTGGGGACACCTTCCTAGCATTTTCCTTTGTCACTGCTTTGGGCCTCTCCATAGCATACATTCCAGCAAAGTAAAATTCTGCTTCACTTCCAGAATTCCCTGCCCTGAGGAGCTTGGTCTGTGCCTGTCCACTTGCTATGTTTTGTCCTCAGAGACAAATCTGCAGTGTAACTCCAGGAGGACACCTCTACTTGGCCACTCGGTGGCACAGGTCTAGGCAGGCAGATCTCTGTGAGTTTGAGGCCAGTCTGGTCTAGAGAGAAAGTTCCAGGATAGTAAGGCTGTTATACACAAAAACCTTGTCTCCTTTCTTCCTTCTATATTCCTTTATATTCTTGTGTCACCCATACATTTTCATAACCTAGTACATTATAATTTTATTGACCCCTCCCCCTCGAATGAACACTAAAAGAAGAACTTGGTGTATCACTTGTGCTTTTCTGTAACGGTGTGTCATTTCTCAGGATGGGTTTCTGGGTTCACCTTGAATTTACAATTCTGTTTTTGTTTGTTTTGTTTTAAGACAGGCTTTCATTTAAGCCCTGGCTATCCTGAAGCTTCCTATGTAGACCAGGCTGGCCTCCACTCACAGAGATAGACCCAGCTCTACTTCCCAAGTGCCGGGATTAAAGTTGTGTACTATGATGTCCAGCCCATTCTCCACCTTTGTCTCTGGAGAAGGATTACAGATATGTACTTCTATACCCAGATCTATCTATCTATTTATCTATCTATCTATCTATCTATCTATCTATCTATCTATCTATCTATCTATCTATCTATCTATTTGTGTACTTGTATTCTGAAAGCCTAGTATTGTGATTGAACCATATATGCACAAAAGAAATATCTGTTGAATGATCAGTTAATGAATGAATAAACTAAAAACTCTTAACACATCCAAATGCTGGCACGTATTTGTATGGGTCTGTGTCTTCTGTATGGGATGATATTCTGAATATTCAGACTAGATATCCCTGTTTTTAAACTGTGGTTTTGCCTATGCATGCAAGTATTTTTTTTAACATAAACAAAATTCTCTGAGTCCTTGCATGTTATGCTTTTAATATGAGCTTTTTAGTATCTGGTTTTGTTTTGTTTGGTTTGATTTACTGTATTCTGTGTCCTCTAGTTGTCTGTGGTTGTGTATGGACCATTCAACCTAATTGTCAAGACTTTTTGGAGGCACTGTGGCCATTTCATATCAGCAGAGGGCACTAGAGCTATGCGTGTTAGTTCCAGGCCTCAAGTTCGAGCTATCTTGGCCAGGAGCTTTTAGGGACTCAGGCGATCTAGAATCTGAAAAGTAAGAGGTGGAGACCGCTCCAGAGCTGCATTACTGGAAAGTTGTGCGATTCCAGTAGCTTTTCTGTTCTTTCCGCCATTTTCATTCTCTAGGGTCCCGGCTTCAGGCAGTCTCAGCAACCCAGGGAGCAGGATTTATTTAGGGATTAGGGGAGAAGATGGCTGCTTACACCGGGCTTTGGAGAGGACCACCTCCTCCCAAATGACCTTCCACTTCGGTTCTCCACTTCTCCACTTTAGTGCGCGCCTCAGGCCTCTGAGTGCTTAGAGATCGTTCTCTGGCTGCCTTCTGTGTCAAGCCTTCGGGGAAGCACAAGAGAAAGCCATCGAGTTGGTTGCCTTTCCCTCCGGATGGATAGATGTCTGGGATGAACAAAGAAGAGTTAACTGCGCCTCTTCGTGGCTGCTACGGACTCTGGACCTTGGCGCTGAGGAGGGCCTCAACGTGGCTGACTGAAAGGGCTCAGAGGCAGATTCAAGATTCCTCCAGTCTGAGATTTGTGGGTTGGGAGAGCTTCTCCCCCTCCAAAATTCTCTAGTTATCTAAAATTCTTAATTTAGGCATCCAGGGTTAGATTCTGGGGGGTGTGATTAGAACGAAAAAGAGCTCTTAAAGCTTTTATACTCCCCACTCCCCGGAAAGACACAAGCACACCCCTCCCAACACAGTCACCCAATTGAAGGAGGTTCATCCTTAGCCCAGGCTGCCACCCTATGCCCGACACAGTTATGCCACTGGGGGCAAAAGTAGGTGTTGGCACCGGAGTAGCGCAGGTGGACAGGGGCCCAGCAGTCGTAGCTTCAGAGCTGCAACGCTGCATTCTCTCTACTCCTCCCACCTCTTGCCGCTGCCCTCAATTCCTTTCTCTTTGCTCTCCTCCCATCTCGGTTTCAGCGAGCTGAGCGTGAGTGCGCGCGCGTTGGGGGACCAGGGGAGGGCAGAGGAGGGAGGCGCCGTCGGAGGGAGAGCAGACGTCAGGAAGAGGGAGGGAGCCGGGGAGGGAAGAGAGGGAGAGCGAGAGAGCGGCGCGGAGGTTGAGTGAGGCCCCGAGAGATAAAACTGGAGGGCAGAAATTATTAGGGGGTGCGGGACGAGAGGAGGGGCCAGGAGAGCGAGTCCACGGCGAGAGAGGCAAGCGAGTGTGCACCGAGTGTGCAAGGGCGGGAGGGAGGAGAGGGAGCCAGTGGTGGCCCGGCTCGCGCCTACTCGGGCCCAGCGGCGGGCGGACAGCATGCCGAGCCTCCTCATCTGGATCCTCACTCTCTCCGACACTTTCTCTCAAGGTAAGCCCCAGCCATGGGCTAGGGTGTCCTGGGAAGGGGCGCGGAGCCACCCAGAGAACACCAAAGGAGTTTTTGGTGAAACGGCCCAACTTGCTTCCTCCGGCTGCGCGGGAGAACAGAGAACTTAGGTCGCGAAAGCCGAGATCCGAGTAGAAATGGGACCCGAGTGCTCAAAGTCTATCCTCCAGTCCCTGGCAATTCTCCCTCCCTCCTGGGCCCAGGACCGGACTCCTGGGTTCTGGCCAAGGGAAAGGCAGGGAAGAGGTGGGATTTCAGATTTGGGGGGTGGAGCGCATGGAAAGCACAGACGCAGGCTCCCAAAGATGAGGCTGAGGGCTCCTGCTACCCCAATCCAGTCTAGAGTCACCTTCATTTGCAGTGCTGCTGCAAACTGCTTGGGATTGCTCCTTAAAGGGAAGGCGGCATTCGGCCCCCAACCCTGGAGGCTGTGGGGGGTGAGAGGTGGAAGTCCTGACCAGGGCTGCTGGGCTATTTGGAAGGGGAGTTGATCTGGCCAGGAGCTCACTTCAGGTCAGGAAAGTGCAGACATCTGAGGCTCCCTTTGGAACTGGCAGGACCGAGGTTGGAAATAAACCGTAGGGGAGAGATAAGGATGTTCAGGTATACTGGTCTGGGGTCTTATGAAGGAATCAAGGGTCCAAACCTCAGCCAGGCCTAGAGTCTGTGGGAATGGGGGTCTTTTCTCCTGAAACTGACTCCAAGGAAGATTTAATACTGTTGGATTCCTCTTCCGAACTGAACATAGAAATTGGCACATAAATAGCTTCAAACAGAGACTTTGAGACAGATTACTCACCTATGGAGACATTCCCACAAACACCGCCCCCCTCCCCCAGAGACAGACACGACAGACACATACACAAAGACATTAACTGACACCTCTGAAGAAGCAAAATTCCTCTTCCAAGCCGACACTTACCTAGTCCCACATCTCGGCATCAAACTTACACTGTATATGCATGTATGCTACGTTCAAAGGACATAACATCTATTCACACAGAATTGCTTCCACATACTCCAGCCATAGAGCAAACAAAGAAACTTGGACAGACATTCTTATAGGCAGGCGCCTACAAAGATGTACAGTCTTCAAAATGGAGGAGGTGGTCTCTCATTGGGGTGGGTGAGTGAACTGGGAAGAGAATAACCGCCAACTGGAAAGAGCCTCAGGCATTGGCCAGCTCTCTTCCTCTCCTGAATAGTGTGTGTGTGTGTGTGTGTGTGTGTGTGTGTGTGTGTGTGTGTAGGGGTGGGGTGTTTCACTGGAACCCTCCTTTCTTTGCTAGTCCTCTCCAGCTCTGAAGGCAAACCTGGCTTAGTTCAGGATCTTGATTCACCTTTTTTCACGGGAGCCCCAGAACCCTCTTAGAACATGGGAAGGCTCACATCCGTGTCATGAGAGCAGGGGTGGAGCTGGAGGAGAAAGAAGGCCTGGCCTCAGGGTTGGCCACTTGGCAGAAAGTTGGGAAGATAAGTGAAGTTCTGACTTTGTTCAGCCAGGTTGCTGAACTGGAGAGAGCTGGAGGGGGTGAGGGAGAAGATGGTGGGTGAGGGCAGCTGTGTCAGCTCTGATGTGTTGGGGCAGGCTTCTGACTGCCCCTCTCTTGCAGCCCTCATCTGCCAGTGAAACAGAATGAGCTTTAAGAAACAGAAGCTGCAGTTAGGAAACAGGAGAGACATGCAGCTTGCATCTGGTCAGGAAAAAAATGCTTGCCATGTACCCCTCCATCTTTGTGGGTGGGTGTGGCTAGGGAATGCAACTGGATCCCAGCCTCTTGACTCTGTCAGAGGTTAAAGAACTACAAAAGGTTGCAGGCGTGTTTGGGAGTCATGGGGGAGGGAAGCAAAGGGAGAGAGGAGCGAGGAGGGATAGGAAATCTCTATGGAGTCTTTAGGGAACACCCAGCAAAGGGCTGGGGAGAAGACCATTAAGGGAGAAATGGGGGGGGGGGGAGCTGGGAACACTGAGGAGCTGAGTCGGAGGCAGGGAGAGAGCGCAGTGTGGTCAGGAGTGAGTTGAAGGCAGAGGGATGGCAGTGGAAACAGAGGAGGAAAGAGAAGTGGTCAGAGGAGCAATACAACTGAGAACAGAGAGGAGCTAGGAAATTCAGCCTAGCTGAGGAATAGAAATTGTATTTTAAAGGATTTCAAATGAGCTTCATCTATTTTCATTTTTTACTAAATAATTTTCCATATCTTATCTAAATGAAAACCATTATCTTTTCCCTCCCCCATTGCTGTGTCCATCATGCCCTAGCTCCCTAGACTGATTATGCTGAAAATTGAAATATTTATTCATTTTCTAAGAGAATTTTCTCCCTCCCTAGTCTCAGGGAGGAGAAATTGAAAAGGAAGGATTGTAGTTAATCAGAGCAATGTGGGATGACAGGATGGCTCCAGTGGGAGCTGCCTCCAGAGGCTGGTGGCTCTGGCTGTAGGAGGAAATCTGCTCCTGTGGTACCCCCACCCCCAAGCTCCTGTCTGTTCTGCCTTTGCTTCAAGGGGTAAAACAAAGAGGCCCAAGGGCCTCCTATGTTTCCAGCATTTAGCTCCCTATGCGCACTTATATCCTGGCATAGAACAGTGAGCCTGGATTCTACAGCTCTGTTCTGCATACACACACATGCATACCACATACTCCAAATGTCCTACTTCTGCCCAAAGCTGGGTACTGAGCTGGGATAGAGGTAGGCAAAGCTGACAGAAATCGAGATATTCGGTCCGTCCCTGACATTGATTGGACTCTATCTTCAGCCTTCTACTCAAACTCAGAGGCAGACACGAAGCAAGTACTGGGTGTCACAGGGATGCATCTGCAACACCCAGACAGACCTTATTCCACTGGGTGGCTAGCTGGCCCCACTTTGCCTTTCCAGGGGGGTAGGATGATGAAGCCCCCTGATTACCCCATGCATGCAGAGAACTGCACTCTGAAGGAACCTCCTTTGAGATCCCTTGGGACCTGGTCTTCACTTCTCTCTTATCCTACAACATAGGGCATCGTGCTGTGCATACAGTCAATTGATGAGTTAATACCCAATTGATGAGTGAGCCGCAATGCAGGAGGGAGGTCATATAAAATGGTGATGATGTCATAGTCTTAGCCTGATATGCCTGGAATCCTAGTATTCAAGAGGCTGAGGCAGGAGGACTGTGAGTTCAAGGCCACCTTGGACTATGTGTACCAAGTTTCAGACCAGTTGAGGCTGAATTTTAAGTCCCCAGAAATAAATAACACATTTAAATTAATCAATAGAAGAAATCATAGACTTATATTTAGCTCTATCATATTGGTAGTCTGAAGAAGTTATGTGCTCATTAGGTGCTCCAGTTTAGTTATACGCAAAGTGGTGATGATATATATGCTAATCCATGGATTATAATATATATTAATCTATGGAGAGTGCATGGCATGCTGTCTGGTACAGAAGTGTTCAGTGACTGTGTTATGACTTTGTGTCTGAACATAAGTTGAGCATGTCTGAACTCAACATGCTGAGTTGACCACTCTTCTATTTTCCTGCTTATGGTTCTTTTTGTCTTCCAGTTCCAGCTCTTATGGTTCTAGGTCCCTGGTTTCAGTAAGCCAGTGCTTTGCACCTCTCATGAGGGAACCTGGCTGAGGTAGACCTTAAAAGACACAATTCACCCCCTCCCCCCCCAGCCATTGGTGCTCTCAGAAAAGGTCTGCAGAAGAGATGCACCAGGGGAGGGCAAATGGGAAAAGTTTGAGCTTTTGGGTAAAATGAAAAAGTGGCAGGGTTTCAGTGTGAGAAAATAACACAGCTCATTTAGTAAGTTCTCATGTTAATGACTTTTAATATAGGTTAACTTAAGCTGTACAACAGTCCCCTGAGATAGGCTGAGTAATTAATTCCTTTTTCCTGGATAGGAAGCTGAGGTTCAGATATGTAAGGTAGGTAGTTATAGAAACCAGCTGATTCCAAAACTTACACAAGTCTCCCTTGCCAGAGAGCTCCTCAATTAGCAGGGACTGGAGCTGGGCTCGGGCAGGATATTTTTTTTTTCTGGTCCATGGTAGAGTAGGTGTGAAGGGGATTATTTTCTCAAGGTAGTGTCTTTCATTCTGAAATTCTACTCTATATTTTTGGGTTATTCTTTCTTTATGATATGGTACTCTGCTGCTTTGTTAAAAGGGCTTTATCTGCCAAATAAGATTTATACTCTAAACCTAGCCTTTCTAATCCATGGGTTTATACATGAGGACCCTCCCTTTCCCCCTTCAAGCTGACTCTGTAGAGTCTTAGTCATAAGACTTAATCATAAGACTATGAGGCTGATGCACTCAGTGGAATCTGGGGGCAACCTGTACCCTCCCACCTCTAGCCTCTAGTAGGGCTGTAGTCACAGTAGGGCTGTAGGTGGATGCAGCAGGGCTGTAGACACAGTAGAGGCTATAGACACAGTAGGGGCTGACTGTAGACACAGTAGGGCTGTAGGCACAGTAGGGCTGTAGACACAGCAGGGCTATAGACATAGTAGGGCTGTAGACATAGTAGGTAGGGTTGTAAACACAGCAGGGCTGTAGATACAGCAGGACTGTAGACACAGTAGAGGCTGTATATACAGTAGGTCTGTAGATACAGTAGGGCTGTAGGCACAGCAGGGCTGTAGGCACAGTAGGGCTGTAGACATAGTAGGGAGGGTTGTAAACACAGCAGGGCTGTAGACACAGCAGGACTGTAGACAGTAGAAACTGTAGACACAATAGGGGCTGAAAATCTCAGTGTTCTGTTCAGCTCACCTGGAGGTGCTCAGCTTTGCTTTTCAGCTGGTTGCTTACCTCAGGACCTGCCTGGCCTAACGTACTGAAAAGGATCATGGGAGGTCTGCAACATACCAAGATGTCAGCATTACCTTTTACTGAGTTCCTGCTGTTGCTTTTCAAAATTGATGTTCCTGCCATTTCATAGATAAGAAAACCAAAATTGAGAGGTTAAACAACTAACCAAGGGCCA